CTTAGTGCCTGTAGTTGGTGTCCTTCGAGGAAATTCTCCTCCCATACATTGTGAAATAAATTCGATGCGCAAATGTAGTGAATTTAACGTGCCAATGAAGTGATTAAACTCAAAATGTTCTTCCATCTAACTACATGTGAAGTAGGGTTTTCACGATACTGGAATTCAGGACGAATCAATACTGACATTTTAAAAGCGTCCATTTTTTCGCTAACATTTGAGCGCTATTGAGCATGTTTTAACATTGTGTTCACATCGATCAGCTAGCTGGTCTATAAGCTGACATACAAGCGATCCACTGATGAATCGTGGCTTTAAAATGCTCCAGTGTCCCTGTATCGGTGATTACACTCAGTAAACAGCAGTACATTTGGTGAACTGAGGACCTTCACAGCCAATCACAGTCGTTTCTGTTAAGTACATGAACACAATGGCGAATCAGCGCTGTTTAGAAACGAGCTTGACAGCATTCAAATTTTGCAAATTGACGTTTTTAAAAATTTCAGTATCGATTGGTACCGAATTCCAGTGTTGTGACAACCCTAGTGTAAACAGCCCACTGTTAAAAAAAAACTCTGTTTCACGTTTTTTCCGGCAGCAGGGGTTAATTTGCTGTAAAATAACAGATGTTAAATTACAGAAATTTACATTTAATGAAATTTCTGTAATTTAACGGCCGTCATTTTATGTGTTATTTCCAGGCACTCCACTTGCATAACAGATTTTATTCACAGTGCACAATCTATTTGTGCAGGCCTCAGTTGTAGTGAACGTCCAATCAGAGTTCACTATTTACTCTTGTGTTTAGCGTTGTCCACTTGTGATTAAATCTATGAAAACTAATCTTAATATCAGGTGTAACAGAGCTTTCATTCACATTAGTTTATGCAAGAATCAGCAATTAACTAGCAATGAGCATCTAGGCGAAATTCCTTTAGAATTAATTATAAACATACTACAGAAGACTGTTAAATCGTTTTTGTTCATAAATTCATTATAATTCTGAATATATTACTATGTGTTTTCAAATGTGTAAATTATACTTTTGTAATGATACCCGATGCATTAAATACTGCTAATAAATTGACTGAAAATAGATTTTTACCCAACTGTAAAGTGTTACCAAAACATCATGAATGAGCACTTTAGCAAAATGTAACATTAAAAATGATCTCAGTTTAAAACAAAGTGGTGTAAACAAACAAATCAAATTAGCTGTAGTAAAGTTAGTTAGTAGTAAATAGGCAAGTATTTGGCTAAAAGTAAAGCCAGCAAGGAGTGTTAAAAAAATAGACATTTCTGATATACGCAGTAAATATTGCTTGAACGTCTTCATCATAACAATGTGAATAATGAATTCATGCTGTTAAACACACCTCACGAAACGTCCCTTTGGTATGGTAAGTGACTATAAAGTGACTACGCATGCCACACGCTAGTCAAATAAAAACAATAATGAGCGTCACGTCATTTAAAGCTAACACGCCCTACATTTTAGCTACAAGAAGGCTAAACGTTTTGGAAGCATTTCATATCTCAGATAAACATACGGGATTGTTGTGATCACTGACTGCCTATGATACTGTATAATACTATAGCTATAATTTATAACAGCCTCAAATTAAAGAGAACAACATGTGGGGTGTTTTTAAAAGGAGCAGTCCACCAAAAAATATCCATTTGTGCAACATAAAAGAAGACATTTTGTTGGTAACAAAAACAATGGACTTCATTACAGCTGAAATAAATGTATAAATGTCCCTAAAATTTGTCTATAAAGTTTCAGCTCAAAATACCAGGCAGATTAATTATTGCACCATGTAATAAACAATAGGCTGTATTCAAGTATCTCTTTAAATGCAAATAAACTGCTGCTCCTCTCCCATATTCCAGAAAAGGGCAAAGTTTTTATCGCCTGTTTCAATTTTTTTGTTTCAAAAATATTTAACCAGTTACAAAAAACAAACATATGCATGCATTTGAATGTCTTGTCAGTTTAAATTCTGTGTGTGTGTGTGTGTGTGTGTTTGTGTGCATATATATATATATATATATATATATATATACATATATATATATACATATATATATATATATACATATATATATACATATATATATATATATATATACATATATATACATATATATATATATATATATATATATATATATATATATATATATATATATATATATATATATATATATATATATATATGTATGTATGTATGCATGTATATATATATATGTATGTGTGTATTAATATATATATTTGTTTTAAATGTTTATCCTAGTTTACTTGTAATCGTTTGAATGTTTGAAACAGAAATAACTATACTTTGAATTGGATAGAATGACGACTGAAAGCAGTTTCATAACTATAAAAAACAACTGTTTTCTTCGGGCCAGTGGCTGATTGAACATATGTATGAATGTTCCCTTGCATATTACTTGTCAAAGTTTTAATAAAACCATGAGATTGTGATTTTTAGCAATTAACTATGCAGCTCTACTTCTCATTATACCTTCTTTTATGTTCCACAAAATTAAGTCAAAAAGATTTGGAATAACGAAGTCCAAAGTATACTTCACCTCATATAAAATGTTCAATGACACAATCTCTGTCATTAGCACAGTACGTATGTTTTTTGTAACCATGAGTACTGCGCGCACAGTTTACACATGCAAATTTGACCAAAAAAAGTCAACACTGAACCAGTCCACTGTTTCACTTTTGGAAAAGAAACAGACAGATCAGCAACAAACTACTGAAGACTGCAAAAACAACGGACACTTATGTTGAGGAGTGCATGTGTGATTAAACATATCTGGAACTCTAACTTAAACAAATACATTACATATTATTGGTTTAAGTTAGAGTTCCGGATATTTTTAGAGATAAAAAGCGCCGGACAGGTAATTTTTTTGTAGTGTGCATGTGTTAAGCACCTATGTTCACACATGCTCTCAAATATATGTATACTATAAAAAGTCTGCACTGGACTGCGCTAATGCCTTGTTTCCACTAAGCAGTATGATTCGGTACAGAACAATACAGTACGCAGTTATTTCTGTGTCCAGTGTTAAAAGTAGTGAACTCTACCACTTTTTGGAACTCTTTTGTAATGGTACCTAGCATAACAATACAGTGACAAAAGGGTGGAGCTAGACTCGCTGCTGAGCGCTAGTGGTTTACAGAGAATCATTACCAGTTTATGCAACAAGACACAGCTATACAAGAAAAGTTATTTTTAAATACACAGCTAAAACATGGCAAATTTTCTGGAAAATAACCGGCAATTTTCCAAATAGGTGTAATGTGTGAACAGGCCTTTTTAAATACTGGTAAATTCATTCACAATTTTCCATAAAGAGAAGATGTAACATTACTGGTAATTTGCTGAAATGCTGCTCTGTGTGAACACAGAAGGAAAATTGCCAGTAAGAGCGCGTTCACGATTAGAACATGCTGATGTGAGACATCTACTCCATCCGATCAGAACATTCAGACACATTCACCACCATGCTGTTTATGAAGATACAAGCCTTTGAATATTTTTTCAGGCATATTTAGCTGCTAGATGTTAGTCAGATAACATTTCTATGTTCCTTTCTAAATCCCAACTGTGTAAAAAATTATCTATAAAATGCTTCTGATGAACCGCTGTTAGTTTACCTTCAAGCTCTGCTTGAGTTGATTGACGTGTGTGCATGTGAAGCAGCTGGTGAGGGCCAGCACACACACATATTTTGTACATCTCGAGATGTGAAAGTGTTCCTCCATATGGTTTCGTTAAAGTTGTTTACAAATACAAGCGCAGTTGTTTAGAGGTCATTTCTGGTTAATGATGGCAAAATTTACCAGTATTTAGGAATGGATGTGTAAATCGTCTTTTCCAGAAAAATGCTGGAACATTCTTGTCTGGGTAAACAGCGCGTTAAAGTCGTTGTGGAATTTTCCAGATATTTACCGGTATCAGTGTGTGAAAGGGGCTAATGACTGTGCGCAGCAATGAACCATACTCAAACATAGCTTGTTGTTTTCTTGTGACAAACAGCCAGATGTCAAAAAGAAAGAACAGGTTCTGCTGTATGTGCTCTATTCTTGTTTAAGAGGCCTCTTGCGTCACATTTAAAATGTGTGGAAATCGCAACTCATGTTGCATCCTCTCTGTATTTGTGCACGTTTGTCATGTGGCTACCTTTGAAATATGTTGCAATATGTGAAAAAGCCATATAGCTTTCTTCTTTGAGCTTGTTTGACATCAATCAAAACCATGCCTACGAAGCACTGTTGGCAGTGGAAACACAAGCCTGATCAAGGTGAACCATACCGAACTGTTCTGTATTGCACTGCACTGCACTGAACTGTACCGTTTTGTAGAAACTAGCCTTGTTAAAAGTATCGAATTCGCTACTGATCCGATACTGAAATGTCAAAAATGTCCCTTTCCTGCTAACATCTGAGCCACTGTTGATTGTGATCAGCCATAAAAGTCATCTATTCACCACTGTTCACCAAGTGTAAACACTGATACATCGACACTGGAGCATTTCAAAGCTACGTAGATCAGTCGATCCATCAGCGGATCGCTCGTATGTCAGCTCATAGAAAGACCAACTGATCGACAGACTTTGAAATGTTCCATTGTTTATGTATCTGCCAAGTGTCAACCTGGCGAACAATGGTGAAGAGTGGCGAACCAATGACCTTCATGGCCAATCACAGTCACAATCACATATTGAGCATGTGAACACAATAGCCAATCAGGGTTGTTAAAGAACACGCTGAAATATTAGCAGTAATGGAGGTTTTGAAAATTTCAGTACTGACTGCTATTGAACTTGATACTTTTGACAAACCTAGTAGAAAAAAGGCAACAAAGTGTACTTTGGACTTAAAATATTAATTTTAGGTGAACTTTCCCTTAAAAAAAACCTCACAGCGTCCCACATGAGGAAAAAGCACTGAAACATACATCTAGCGGTCAGTTGGGTCACAAGTCGTCCTCCATATTTATGCTGCTCCCTTGGCTGCTGGTTTTGGAGGCTCCGGGCGACATCGGCGAGAAGAGCACATCCGAACCCCTGACGTCATCCATCAGAATGTCACTAAGACCAACGTCAGGGTACAAATCAGAGGCATGTTCGTCCAGCTCTGTGAAGCTAAAAGTCTCCAGATGTAGCGGGCCGCTCACAGCCACAGCAGCCGGAGAGCCGGATGGAGGTACTGAGAGGAAAGGAGATGGTGAAGTCTGTGCCATTGCTCCATCCATGTTGAGGTGGCTCTGAGGCTGACCATCTCCGACGCCGGCCTGCATAGACGCATTTGGCTGCAGTAGCTGGTTTTGGATGAAGGATGCCTCTGTGTTCAGGCCTGGAGACACGGTGGCATTAAGGCCATGGTGGCGTGCTTGTATTTCTAGTTCCTGCATGCAACAAACAACAGGAGGTCACATTCATGTCATCTTGCCAGTGTATATATTATATACTGGCAAAATAAGCAGTCTATTAGTAGCTAAAACAGTTACACACCATCAAATCTGATAAATTTAGATTACTCAAAACATTTAGGTATTCTAAGGCTGCGTTTACATGACAAAGATATAGTTGAATTTGGTGTGTGTCTGTTAGCACCTGCCTTTAAAATCAACTGCACATTTCTACGTCACTGATTTCAAAGATTCTTGTATTGGGTGTTGTCATGGATGTGATTAAGGTAACACTTTGAAAAATGTGCACTTTTTGAAACCCTTTTACAAAGTTATGCTTTTTCAAAATGCCATTGTCGTGTAAATGAACAAGAAAAATGCAGAAAAATTGTTCAGGTTTTGTTGTGTAAATGGCCCCTAACTCATTACTTTATAGTTACAAGGACTACCCTACAGCTCATAATGACTATGTTTACATGGACATCAGTAATCAATTATCTGCCTTAATCTGAATAAGACAATAATATGATTAAGGTGTTTACATGAGTTGCATTCATGATCCTGTTTTAGATGTTATAGCACATAATTCGATTAATGTCATCGCGCCACCAGGCTATCCACACTTATACTATACATCAATAATGCAACTAAAATCGGCATACTCCACATGTCTTAGTCCGATCTGGGTTCAGTTCGATTATGACTTTAGTCAGATTAAGGTTATCAAAAATTGCTGTTTACATACTCTTAATCAGAGTATTGTCTTAATCGTATTAAAATCAGAGAATAGGTGTCCATGTAAACATACTAAATGTTAATTATAATTTAAAGATAAATATTAAGAAGACTCATTTGTTTACATTAATTTCACATCAACTCCATCTTTAGTGTCCGCCTGCATATGTTCATGTAACTATAAGAGAGATTTTTCAAACACACGTTTGCAGGATTTTATTTTCGGATAATGCAGCATAGTGAATACAGTTTTTTAGTCCGTCATCAACTAAATCACAAGTTTCAACATAACAGAAAACTCTAACATACACAAAATTACAGTTTTAAACAACGCTTAAATTCAACTATACAGAAATTTGCTTCTACACAATCAGCTTGATTTTAATCGTGTTCTATATAAAAGCAACAGGACGCGAAAGAAGGAATATTTTCCATATTAAAAGGAGTTTTTGTTCTAACCAACACCTCAAATTGATCAGAAATGGCTTCTATTTCTTACAGGTGAACAACAAAAAACTGACAATGATCCCCTTAGGTACACTTCATGTGCTTTATTCATCGTTAAATGCTAAAAATGTCATTTTGAATGACAATTTACATTACATTTATTGCCATACTACTTAAAGCAGCAGCAGATAGTTCACCTCAGATTATGAAAATAAAATAAGCTGTTTGAAATTAAACTTCACATCTGTGACTCAAAACCAACACAGTGATTCAGCATGTACATATAATAATGTTAGTGTAATATGTAAAAATTAAACTATAAACCTTGCCATTTAGTGAGTGCATATTCTGTGCTTCTGGATGGCTGTATAATGTAAATATTTGAGTTTATGTAACGAGTGCAATGAATTTGAGTGAAATAAACTGGATAATGTTTTGCTCATTTTGGATACAGACATTATAAGGCAAGTCTGTCTTAGTTTTGGACTTGTGTGATAAATAAAAATCCTGGAGAGTGATGTACCTGTATGCGGAGAATCAGGGCCTGGTTAGATTGCTCCAGTTTCTTCTGTCTCATCTCGATCTCTTTGGCCCTCTGCTGCTCTTTCTGGAGTTTTCTTATGTAATCAACTGAAGCCTTCAAAATGGTTCCCTTGTTCCAGCGCATTTCCCTAACATTGTGACAAAACAGGAAGTAAATATTATTTATGTAAATATTATGTGTTGACAAACTAGTTTTTTGAATGCACTGTTCTTAAAATAAATGTTAGTATGTATACGGTATGTACAGTTAAAGTCCTCCTGAATTATTAGCCCCCATGTATATCTTCTTCCCCTGTTTCCGTTTAACGGAAAGATTTTTTTCAGAACATTTCTAAACATAATAGTTTGTCCTGTAGTAAATAAAAAAATTGCTTAATATGATTTACCTTAAAATGGTTAAAAAAATTTTAAACTACTTTTATACTATCTGAAATAAAACAAATAAAACTTTTTTTTTATTTAAAAGTTGTTTATATAAATATACTGATTTAGATTTATATTACAATAAAGCATCACAAACTTTGAATTAATTGGTTTTGGTACTTCTAGAATGTCTCCACAACAAATGTGAAACTTTTCACCATGAGAGATGTTTTGGATCAAAATATTTCAAGCTCAAACAATGCTACAGTCAGTTTTGTATTGTTTCTCAAAACACAAAAGCCTGAAGGAAAGAAACTTACGGATCAGTGGATTTGGGTATTAGAGCCCCTAACTCCTTTATTCTGTCATTTATGTTGAATCTTCTCCGCCGTTCAACTTCACAAAACAAAGCACAGATGTAATCACACAGACACACAAACAGACAATAATACGCTACTGAAGTCTGTGTGTTTTGAACTCACTGAGATTGTGATTATCTTTCTTCTGTCTCTCCTTCATGAAAGCTCTGGCCTCTGTTTCTGGAAAACACAACAGCCATTATGACCACCGCCTACCCTATACTGTACAGCAGATACACAACACGACAGAAAATAATGGAATATAGAAGACACACCGATCACAATAACATTACCAGTATATTCCCTTTTGATGTTGGGCAGATCTGCTGGACAGGAGTTGCTGACGGTGATGGTTGGAGTCGTCATACCAGGACTGTTGTAGACATCCAGAAGATTTCCTGGAAGCTATGACAGAAACACACTTTGAAAAACATCAAACTCTGCTTGAAATAGATAATGATCAAAGCTGCCTAAAACACAATGTTATGAAGGAATATTGCTTTACCACCACGTTTAGCACTGTTGACGCACATGACTTCAAAAAAACGCTAAATTAAACCAAATGTAGATTTCTGGACACCTGAACAACCTGCAACAGAAGGACTGTATGCTCTGTATATAGTGTGACAGAATGGCTTTCGGTTTACTATTAAAACACACGTAAAGCTTATGATTTTCTCAGTGCCTACCACCTCACTATGAGGACATGTACACCTAAACTACATTTTATTTAACGTGAAAGAAACTTTGTTGTAAAATGTAAACAGAAACTCAAGCATCTTTATGACAACTTGTTGAAATAAATTTGGTTTAACTTAAAATGATTGCATGACTCCAAAACAAACAGACAAGCTTTTTAGATTACTCAAATTTAAATAAACCATTAAAAAAGTCTATAAAATTAAAACATTCAAAAATTTTACTTTCAAAACTAAACAGAATTTGTGGGAAAATAAAGATTTTATAGAGCTCTTAAACAGATGCAAAAAAATGCACATAAAATGATGCATAGTAATTCAAAATATGCATTAGAAATTCATTATCAATAGACCTAAACCACTTAACAACACTGTTTGGAATCCTGTCAGAATATGTTGAATTAAATAAATTATGGGCTGATAGTAGCCTTTGCAACTTACTGATTGGACAACCTGATCTTATGAATTGGAAGACAACAGCTCTCCCTTCTTATTGGCAATGGCTTTTTAAAATTTTTTTTTACAAGCTCTTAGAATGGAAACAATTTGGTTTGTTTTAAAACAAAAGTAAAAACAGCTCCAGAGAGTCTGGAGAACTTTTATAATTTTTTAAGGAGACACCTATTCTTTGTATAGTTTTTTATTTATTTATTTTTCCATCTGTTTGTTTTTTCATAATTATTATTTTTATGTTACATGTGTATGCTTATATGGTATTTTACCTTAATATTTATATAATTATTTAGTGTATAATTATGTTTTCCCAATAATTTCTTGTTTGGTGAATTGTATCAGTGCATTTATATTTTCAGCTCCCGAAAGACTGGTAATGTTAATTTTCATCTCAAATTTATCTATTTTGCTCTACAAAAAGTAATGGTTAGCACATGTAGACTGTTAATTTGTATTTAACTGTCATGTATATATATGGAAGTTTTTTCCTAACCAAATTCAAATGAAAATTCAAATGCCTAAAAAGATCAAATAATAAATCTAACTTTCAACTACACAAAAGATAAATCAATTGCTCAAATGATCAGGTAATAAATCAAAATGCATTCTCAAATGAGAAATCAAATGTATTTGATATTTAATTTTCATGAAGATCTCAGTACAATTCTGTAAAGAATAAATGAAAACTCAAATAACCAAACCCTAATTCAAATGCAGGAACCATTTTCTGGTGAGCTGGAAGCTGATGATGGACTGATTACTAGGATTATAAAGGCACCTCATTCACAAAGACTCTTTGCTGAGTCTTGTTGTTCCCTGTGAAGCATTACAAAATGGTTTTCGCTATTTGTCCTGCCATGTCTTGATTCTTGTCTTGTTTACCGTCGTTGTTGTTTTGCCTCCTGTCCTGTTTGTAATTCTGTGTTTAATAAATGTTTTGTTAACTTTTGTCTCCGTTTTAGTTTTTTAAATTGAACTACGTTTGTTTGTTCGGGCAATGTTTTTATTTTTTAGTACCAACTTCCAAAAGAGTTTTTTGTTCACTCAACTTCAGACATTTTAGGTCAGTGCAACTGATGTTTTCAAAAGTTGGGTACACGAGAAAAAAAACTAAAGGAAATAATACAATTTTGTGTTGGGTTAGTTAAAAAGTTTTGTTACAGAGTAGTTCACCTCTCCAGAAAACTAATAATTTTATGTTAACCCAACTTAATGTTTTTTTAATTACTGACAAATAACTCTCGATCAGTGCAGCTGATTAAGTGAACAAGAGAGTTGAGTGAACAAGAAAAAGCAAAAGGAAATCCGATTTTTGGTTGTTGTTGTTGTACTAGCTAAAACTTTTTTTTACAGTGTAAGATGAACCCAATTAAGCAAAAAAGAGAAATAAATGCATAAGAATTATATTAAATCATTAATAAACATTATTTAAATATTATTTAATATAGTACTAATATTATTTCTTAGAAATGTTTAATAAAATATGTAACACAACGAAAATAAATGATTGAAAATTTAAATTCAAAACAGCACAAATTCAACACTTATTAATGTAATTAAATTGAATAATGAGATTTTACCTTTCCTTTCCTTTCATGCTCCTGCAATAACATTATCCTCATTTCACCTTTTACTTCCTTCACCAGCAAAAAAAAAAAAAAAAAAAAATGGGGGAAACCCTTTAAAAGTTGCCGTTTCAATCCAGTGTCTTACTCTGTACTTACTGTCCACAGCCCCGTTTGTCCCTCCCTGATCGTTCCTATCTGGCAGGTGTTAGTAAAGTGTCAGAAGTGCATGTTTATATGTTTATGCTTCCCCACTGCTGGCCTCCCTCATAAGTGCACTGGTTAGCACTCACTCTTAAAAGGAGTGGGGGGTATATTTACGTTCAGGAAATGCTGTACTGTAGCTTTCAGAATGGCTCATGGCGGTTTACCACAAATACAGCTCTGTCTCAAAGAGGCTTTTATTCAGAACCTCAGCGTAATGCTATATGGATACATTCCTTAATAATAAAGATGATCACTGAGCTTACCGTGTTCGGGAGCTGCAGGCCAGAATCGATCAGAGACAAGATGTCATCGTTGAAGCTGGACTCAAGGCTGATGATGTCGTCAATGACATCATCCATCTGAGAAGACACAATTAAGGTTTAGAATGAGTATTAGTATTGATATTTAAGAGTGTGAAATATATTTATGAATACAGTGAACAATAACACCTGAAAAGTGTGTGTTTTGTGGGTGAATTAAGGCAGAAGTGCAATGCGGAGTAATAATTAAGCTGCTGCTGTGGTATTTTGCAGTACATTGTGACAAAACTAGAGCTAGGACAAACTGAACAGTGAAAAGTAAGAATGTTCTGGCACGAGTCAACAAGACAGTGACGTGCAATAAACAATTACTGTTTTGATAACACCTTAAAGGGATATTTATAGTTTTCATAGATATTTAAGTCACCCTATGCCTAAATCTGTTTAACTTTTCATTGAGTTGCTATTGACTTCAATAGTGTTTTATCTTGGCTCTATACTTTTGAGCCTAACATTTGATAGCATTTGTTAGCAACACAAACATCTGTTGGCATGTTTTGCTGTCTTCAGTAGTTTGTTGGTTGTTCTCGTTTCGACTTCATTGGTTTCTGATTGTGAAAAATTTCCCAGTTGATTGTTGAGTGGTGACAACTCAAGTTATACAAACACAATTCAAGGCACGTGTGTGAGCTGCATGTACACTGTCAGCCAGTTACAAAAATCAGTGGTCCATTTTGCTTTGATGACAAAAACTGCATCATGCATAATCCTTGCATGTACGTTAATGATCTAATTCTATAGTGAAGTCAACAACTATAAAAATAACAACAACGACTTTTTTGAGCTGATGAATAATTAAAATAACGATCAATGCACTGGCCCATTTAAAGGGAAAGTTCACACAAAACTAAAAATTCTGTCATCATTTACTCACGCTTCACTTATCACAAACCTGAGTTTCTTTTTTCTGTTCAACACAATAGAAGTTTATTTTGAAAAATGCTGGAAACCTGGCACTCACTGACTTACATATTATGTGTGTTTCCTATTATAGAAGTCAGTGGTTACCAGTTTCTAACATTCTTCAAAATATCTTATTTTGTGTTTAACGGAATAAAGTAACTCAGAAGTGTTTGGTGGTTTGGCACCACTTCAGGGTGAGTAAATTGACATTTTTAGGTAAACTATGCCTTTAAAGTGGACAACAATGGAACTGATATTTACTCTTATAATAAACAAAACAACATGGTCCTTTGGTATAGATGCTTAAATAAGCAGGGTTGCACATAACCAGTACTTAGGTGGGCATGCACAATTGAAATAAACAAATTTCAAGCCATATTTGCTGCTAAAGAGGTGTTTTTTGTAACACAGTTTACTGCAACATAAGATAATTATTACAAACATGTTAAAATGAATGCTTGTTGTTGGCTGTGTAAAATAATGTGTTTTGTTTATGATAACACTTTATTTTAAAGTACCCTTCTCGCTATTTACAAAACATTAACAAACACTCACAGTATATATATATTTTTTGCTGCATATTATTAACAGTTAGCAAAATAGTAGCTAGGTTTAGTAATCGGCTAGGATTAAGAATGTGGAATAAGATCATTCTTCTTAATAATCAACAAGTAACAAGCTAATAGTTAATAGTGGGAATCAGTACTTAAATTAAAGTGTTAGCAATAATTGTTTTGTAAGATTGTGGTTCCAGTAGACTTTGGATTTAGTTCACATTACCTCAGATTGAATTAACTTCGGTGTGAAATGAAAGCAATTGGAAAGAAACATGGGCTTGTGCAAATATCCCACGCTTGTATCTTAACGTAAGAATGTAAAATAAAGTAGGTCTCTCAGGGCACAGAGATGGAGTTGCTGTCAGTGCTGTAGTTTACAATGGCATTGTTTCAGATAATCTGGGTTCCCGTAGTGCACATTCTATGCCCCGTCCTCAAGAACTGTGCTAAATCAGTTGATCGTCAAGTGCAATACTGTTGTCAAGCTGCAGAGCTTTCATTTTATAGAAAGGTGTCAATTAAGATTTTAACATCTTAATAGTTAATATGACTGCACATAGGATGGCTGTGCTATGAACAGTGGGAATACAAAAAAAAAACATATCCCAGTACAACTTTGAGAAGTTACATGCATCCCTGAACACAGTTCTTGTTTTTGGCCTTTGCATCTGAAAGGCATGATCAGTACACAATGTATATTTATGTATATGTGCTTTACCTCCTCTTTGTTGGAGCCTAGATTAAGATGTGCCATGGGGCTGTTGGGAGCGCTGCTTGCTGATGGGCCCATTTCTGGAGCCGAGGCTGAATGTGGGACAGGAGACACACCGAGAGTTTGCGTGGCAACTTTATTGCCGAGTGTGGTGGACAAGTACTCCTTCACTTGCTGCCTCTGCGCCTGCTGGATGTGGTATTTAGTTGGGTTTTCCAGATGGGTTTGCACCTACACCCAAATAAAAACACTCCATCAGAGCTCATGCAAAGACATAAGGGACATTTCATGCTACATATTGCACTGTTGTCCATGCATTAGTCATAAAGAAGGAAATATTGCCACTTTTAATTAAAGAGGAACAAACATTTAGGAGTTTACACTGCATTTAATCTCAAAAATAAATTGTGAAGCTAAAATAATTTAATGTCACTGAAGAATGCATACCTCTATTTAAAAGTATGTATTTCGATTTTGAAAAAATCATATACTATTAAATTATATATAAAACTTTGAATTATATTAGAAATGTACTGCAATTATTTATGTTATCTTAAAAGTGCTGCTACATATAAGGAACCTAATGCATTTAACATTAAGCAATACATGTGCAAAGGCCACACACATTTCACTCTGTGCAATAGTATACCTGTTTATAGTGTTTAAAGCAAATGCAACAATAACATCTGTTTAAACTTTCTGTGCAAAATTCGAACTATTTGTCATGTGTGATGGGAACTAAAAAGCCTCTTTATAACGTCTGTAAAAGTTTTGTTTTATCTAGGGATGCCGGAAGCCTACTTTACCTCAGTCTGAATGAAATGTTTAGACTTGTCTAACTACTGACTGATATTAATTATTTAAATGTATTTACAATATGGTTAAGTTAAAAACGCAGGTTAGGTTTTTTTTGCATGTAATTGTGCATAATTAATTTTAGTTACTATAGTAAGAACACAGAGCATGAGCAACAAATAAACTGTTAGCAAATAAAGCATAACCTTGTTTTCTGAGACTTTTTAGATCTAGCTTTAAACGTTGTACTAGATATTTTGACGACAGTCAAGAGGTTTGGTTGCTGCTCAGATATGCACAGTAGAATAAATCCATTCAACTCAATTCATGTTTATTTCTATAGTGCTTTTACAATGTAGATTGTAACACTGAAGAGCAAATCCATTAATGCACAGCTCTACAAGTCCCAACCAAGCACGCCAGTGGTGAAGAACAAACTTTGAATATATATAAAAAGTATTATTACTAATTGGTGGTTTATAAGTAGGCCCACACAAAATCTGTGCGCACAGAAATCCACAGATTTTTAAGCCTATCATTGAACGTGTTCATTTACTGTACTTATGCAAAGTGTGTAAATACATATTTATTCAGTTTTTATATTAATTTGAGTAATTTTATTGTTTATGTGATTTGTTTATAATACCGTTTATAGAGTAATATTTTCTGTTTTAACACAGGGGTTACAAAACTTTTCAGCCTGCGACCCTTACAATAACAATGCCAGTGACTCACCCCCCCCCCCCCCCAAATTCCTCATAGGTGGTTATAAATATGCAAAGGTTGCTCATAGAACAATAGACCTATATAAACATGAGCATATTAACAACACACAAAAGTGCAACAGTCTAACAACCATTTCATTTTTAGTTTAATTTAATATTAACCTTATTTAATGAGACTGGTGGACAGTGTTTTCAGCACAAGCCTATTCTTGGTTTAATTTTGGAGACTGCCAATCAGAGATCATTCTCGATATACAGAGGTGATCTGTATTTATTTTTAATGTATTTGAGTGCCATAAAGGTGTCAGAAGGTTTAACGTGGTGCTATAAAATCAATCTGCTGTAGCTGACGCTATTGCTGTGTTGTTAATCTAACGTAAACACACAGATCCTATAAAAAAATTCTTTAAAGGCCGATGGCTTTTCTTTTAATTGTTTTTATTTGTTTTCTACTATTAAAAACTAATATTTTATCTTCTGTAGTTATGGTTAAAATATGGTCATTTTAATAGTTTAATCAAATTTATTTGACTTTCAAATCACCAAGCGACCCTCTGTCATTGTCCCTTGACCCCAACTTTGGAGGCACTGTTTTAGTATACATTAAATGTTGTTTACCAAACAAGCAGATTTGATTGGATTTGCTTTGTAAACCTTTAATAGTTCAAGTTAAAAAGTCATTATTAAACATACATTTTTAGTTACTATTCTCCCAAAATCCCATAAAAAAACAAAGATTTTGCTTTAAAATTCTGCACAGAAATAGCAAAACAATTCTGTCTGGCCGTGCTTATTAGCCAGTCTAGACCCACCTTCAGAACCTCCACCGGGACTTGTGCTGGAGGAGGCCGGGCAGCCATGGGTGGCAGCGAGACGGAGATGGCAGGAGTGGTGTCTGCAGGGCGGAGCTGAGCGACTGATGCCTGCTGCTGCGCCTCCCTCCTCTCCTGCTCCTGCGCCTGCTCTCGCATCAGCTGCTGCCGGAGCAACACTCTCGAAGACATGCTGCTGTGCTGCGTCCACCGCTCTATTAACAAGCTGCAGAGGAGGAAACAAGTAGGAAAGCTGCTCAATCTGCCACAGGAGCTGCAGGCAGTATAAAAGGAAATAACTGGGACTACCACTTCTCCTTTTGGACAATGAGGAGTAAAAAAAATGATATTTAGAATAGCTGAGTCGTGTTACTTGTATTTAAAGAGAAATGTAAGCAAGGAGTAGAATGGACGTCAAGTGTCCCATTTTGAAAATTTATATCCATTTCTCGGTGAATATAAGCAGTGTATTTTGGTGCATTCAAACAAAACAGATTTATTAAACAGATATTTATTAAAATAATATTTTAGTCACCAAACACATTTAGAAATTGAAAGATTTCTAAACACAATTTCATTCAAGCTAAATATTGCAGAAGAATATAACAACCTACAAAATTTCAATGTAAATTATTTTATTTTTTGCTTCTCTTGATTTTTTCCTCTTTTCCTCTTTCCTCTTTGTTTAATATTTTTCTATAACAGATAAATTTGGCAGTCCTAGTTTTTGGACCGTTATCGTAACTCATTTTATTAGATAAGCTCCAGATTTGGCTTCAGCACAGACTAATGTAATGTATATGCACAAATATAATATCGTATAGCTTTCTATTAAAAATATGAATTCAAAAAAAAGATCTGTGTGGGGTGTACTGATATATGAGCACTGTATATAGACAGAGAGAGAGAGAGAGAGCTGAGTAATATCCCATATGACAATATGTCAGTTTATATGCTGATAACAATACACAGTGCATAAATGAATACACACCATTTTGAAAATCTATATTTTTTACCTCTCAGTGAAAGTAACTTACAAATGTTTTACTAAAAGTTAACTTTTTCTACTTTATCAGTGAATATGGGAAATATTGTTGCATTTGAACAGATTATAATAAACAGATATATTTAATAAATTAATTATTTAAAATAACATTTAAAAAATAAATCACAAGAAACATATATATATATAGTTCTATTGATTTTTTCTCTTTTTTTACATTCCTATTTAATTTTTTATTCCAAATATATAAATTTAAGTACAAATCTTTGGAGTGTTATTGTAAGTTATTTTGTTAAATAAGCTCCAGATTTGACTTCAGTACTGACTAATCTAAAGTATATATAATATTGTTCAGCATTCTATTTTAAATTCTATTTAAAAGAGAGAATTGTGAGGGGTGTACTCATATATGCTGAGCACTGTATAACACGATAAAGTAGCATTTCTTAATTACAATACATTATTGTTATTTACAGTTGAAGACAGAATTATTAGGCCCCCTGTTTATTTTTTCATCAATTTCTGTTTAACAAAGAAGAAATTTTTAACACATTTCTAAAGATAACAGTTTTAATAACTCATCTCTAACTGATTTATTTGATCTTTGCCATGATGACTGTAGATAATATTTTACTAGATATTTTTTCAATACATTTCTATACATCTTAAAATGACATTTAGAGGCTTAACTAGGTTAATTAGGTTACCTAGGCAGGTTAGGGTAATTAGGCAAGTTATTGTAAAATGATGGTTTGTTCTGTAGACTATCAAAAAAAAAAAAAAAAAATACACCTTAAAAGGGCTAACAATTATTGACCTTAAAATGTTTTTAAAAAATTAAAAATTATTTTTATTCTAGCCAAAAAAAAAAAAAAAACAAATAAGACTTTCTCCAAAAGAAAAAAAAATATTATCAGACATTCTGTAAAAATTTCCTTGCTCTGTTAAACATCATTTGGAAAATATTTTAAAAAGAAAAAATCAATGGGGGCTAATAAATCTGTCTTCAAATATATATTAACCAGATTTTAAAATATATACTCAGAAATGTACTCATTCATAATTGATCATATTTCTAACTTTATTCATAACTTGAGGTAACTTAGAACTTTATTCTTAAAAGAAAATACACAAATGATCAACATTCGAATAGACTGGAAATATTCATTTAGCGTTTGACCAAAACACTGTCTAAACACGCACGATCTGAACCATTAATGTCATATGATTGAAGTCTGCAGGTCTATCAAGGGGAAGTACAGAATTTACCAATGACAGCTGCCGAAATACCATTGTTCACCAGTTATATTGAATATGTGAATACAAATATGAACAAAACTTCAGAATCTGAATGTATCCTATATCCACAAATGGACAAAACACTTCAGTTATGATTGTGCAGTTTGATATGCTATATAACGTTAAAGGGAGAGTTATGTAATGGTTCGGAACATTAGGATTGGGATTAGCCTCTGAACTATTTAAAGTTAAATAAATGTGATAACTTAAACCAAGTCATCTTGTGTATTAGTCATTTATACTAGCAAGCAAACGTATCTGCTTGTAACTCTCTATGGCGCACTTAACAAACCCCGAATGGTTGTTTTTGACAGCATCCAGCTGTCAGCGCTAGGCTAACTAGCTAGCAAGTTGACTTGTCAAACAGCGTTGCTTCCATTAAACTTTATCAAGGTATACTCAGGCGACACCATTAAGAATTTTACAAGGCTTAAACACTCGAGTCGGGTAGGCCAGGAGTGAAAATAAAGTTAGTTACCTGGTTGATGTTATTAGAAGTAAAGCGAGTTTGCTGGAAGAATCGCCATTACCCGCATGAGGATTTCCTTGTTTTGGATGTCACACACACACGCACAGTACCCATCACATTCATCAGCATGTGTCCATCAATCTTGTTTTTTGTTAACTATTTAATAGTTATTAAACTGTATTAAATAAACAATTTAAATAAAATATAAATAACATAAAATGTATTAATTTACCTCAAATATTATATAATTATTTATGACACGCTTGGTAATAAAGTGATTCAAAATCAAACTTCAGTCTTTACTTTAATTACTTAATTTCAGTTTTAGTTAAGGTAAAAAGAAATATGACAAATTACTGAATACATAAATTTGACCTTCTGCTCACTAGACTGCATTACAGCAAAATAGTAATATTGCAATGCCTTAATAATAGTAGTAGTAGTAATAATAATACTTAATTAATTTAACATATTCTTGAGATTAAAACCTGAATTTTATTTTATTTTATACTTCATCTATATTTTACTCTTTTATCAGCGCAGAAAACTTTTTTCTTGCTTACTTGTGTCTAAAACAATGACACATTTTAGTTTTCTGGAATATATAATACAAAGTCAAAAATACCAGCATTTATTTAAAAATATATTAATAGATGTATTTAAAATATGACTGCTTTTATTGCATTTTGAATTTAATTTAAAAAGCTCAAGGTTTACAAATTTATTATAAAAACTGTATTAATTTTAAAGTAAGATAATGTACATTCAGGCGATGTGGTGGCGCAGTAGGTAGTCGCCTAACAGCACTGGTTCGAACCTCGGCTGGGTCAGTTGACGTTTCTGTGTGGAGTTAGCATGTTCTCCCTGCGATAGCGTGGGTTTCCTCCAGGTGCTCCGGTTTTCCCCACAGTCCAAAGACATGCGGTACAGGTGAATTGGGTGGGTTAAATTGTCTGTAGTGAATCAGTGTGTGTGGATGTTTCCCAGAGATGGGTTGCAGCTGGAAGAGCATCCGCTGCGTAAAACATATGCAGGATAAGTAGGTGGTTTATTACGCTGTGGCGACCCCTGATTAATAAAGGGACTAAGCCGAAAAGAAAATGAATGATGTACATTCATAAAAGTATCATCACTTGTCAAATGTTGATTAGAGTTGCTCACTTTACTGCTCATCAGAACATAAAATACCTATACAGTCATGAAATATTAGAAATTATCTTAATTTTGGAGTGATTTTGATTTTTGAAGTTGGTCCAATGACTGGTGGCTGAGGGTTTACAGTGTATTTAGACTTCTCAGCTCACGAGGCTATTTTTACTTTTTAAATTCTAAACTTCTATATTCCAATTCAATACAAGATGATTTCATTAATAATATTCATTGATTAATGAATTAAAGTGAATGCTTAAAGAACCCACAACATTTGTCTGATGATATGATCTTCCTGAGAGAGCAGAGTTGAGCTGACAGGAGAGTGGGTGAAGGGTTGGAGAAAAACAAGCTTTCCCGTATTTTCACTCAGCGGGGTGTGGAGGCAAGTGTCTGTGGGTAAATACACCATGTTTGTATTGTCCATATGCAGAGAGATCAAAATATCTTGAATATCTTTCAACCTTAAAGAGGAAAATGTAAAATCAAAGCTATTAAAAGATTTATTCCTAACTAATCATACAGTTAGGACTAGCCTTATAAATGTGCACAAACACAAGCAAATTACTTAAACTGTTTTCAATTTCAGAACCAAGAAACCAATACTATGAATTTGCGAAAGCTACACTGTAAAAGGAAACCCGCAGGTGATTCTTGAGTGGAAAGGAAATCAATATATAAGCACAAAGGTCTAGTGAAGTCATTCTCCTCAGAGAAAATATAATTTATTTGCATATTTTAAATTGAAGATCATTTAAATATACAAAACGGTGATGTTTTTTCGACCACAGCTGAAATCAGAATGAACTTCTCTGAGCGTCCTGACTTAATGCTCATCACATCAGCTGTCAGAGAAGGAAAAATTCAGAGCTGCCGTGAGAGAATCTGAAAGTTTGGTGCCGAGTTTATCTATAAAAAAAAGAAGAAAGCAGTAGTGTTATGATGCATAGTTTCAGAGCAGTGTGTCTGGCTTATAACACATTCAAAATAAGCTGCTCAAAACTCAAGTTGCACCTAATCATGCATTTAATTTATTCAAAGTACAATAACCAAAGACAGAAAGAAGAAACTGTGTCTCACCAGCTCTCTTTTGCTGCTTCTTCCTCTTTTTGTTGGCTGCCTGAAGAGCCTGGCCTTGCAGGAGTGGATCAATATCCAGAATGTCCTTTAGATCCACAGGCTTTGGTCCGACAGCTTCGACAACACCACTCTTTGTCTTGGGAACTTTGAGCTCAACGGTCATCGGTCCAAACTTTATAGAAAAGATTAGAA